AAAATTCCTAAAATATAACGAGAAAGAATGTTCGATACTCAGAAACTGCTATAAAGAATTTATCACAATGCAATATGTGTTGTCCTGTTTAGTACGTTGATAAAAAGTAAAAATCATCCATTGATACAAGAGTTAATATTTACACAGCTGAATATAGATTGAATAATAAAAGAAATAAATAATAAAAAAAGCTTATTTAGCACATTTTTATCTTATGACGAATTTTTTTCTCGCGAAGCTGGAGATCGCGATCAGATTTTTTTATATGGATAGACAGGATGTCTAGCGGTCAGGAAATCTTAAAAATCTGGAATTGTCAGGGAAAAGTCAGGAAATGTTACTATTTATCTGGATTTTTTCTACATTTGTCTCAATAATTTAAAATTTTTTATTAAATAAATATAAACTGTTCCTTGATTCCCAGCACGCTAATTTTCTGTTGTTAAAAGTCGATTCATCCATAGCGTGTTTGTTAATTTATATTTTCATCGTTGTGTTATTTTATTTCAATGTATTAGGTATATATTTCAAAATATATTATAACATTGCTCAAGAATTATAATATTGTTCAAGAACTTCATTTTAATTCATTTTTTTATTAAAAATTAATACATTAATTTTATTAAAATGTTTTATTTGAAAATTTTATTGTGATATTAGATATCAATCAATATATTAAAATATATGTATTATAATTTGTTAAAATATATTAAAAATAAAATTTGATATAATATAAATAAAAAAGATGATCATTAAATAGTGACATGTTTATTTCGATGATCGTACGTAATGCAGATTATATAATTGATTTAAATTTTATTTTTCAACTTTCGAACCTTTTCATTGTTGACAAAAATATCTCAAGGATTTCATGATTTAACATTTAATTTATTTATCATATAGATATATATTTGGAAAAATTATACTAAAAGTCAGGGAAAAAATAAATTTCTGGTCTTGGAAAATCTGCAAAAGTCAGGGAATTTTTTTCATTGAGTCTGCTGGACACTCTGATAGAAATGATTCGTGATTAATATATGAATATAGGCGTAATTTTCATTTTTTCATGAAGGGAAATAGAGAAGAAAGGAGAAAGCGCGAGTATATGGGACTACACACTCGTCGCGTGATACGTGCAATGAGATAAAAAAAAGTGCATGTGCAAACCGTAACTTCTTTATGATCCTCCGGAGAGTCGCCGAACGAGTGGAAAAGGCGCATCGTCGTACTTATCCCCGTTCATTCCTATTTAAAGGCGGCGACCGGCTCTTCGACAGTCGGTATTTCATTTTGATAAATTGTCGTACCTGCTGACGTTTACCATTAAACGAGAATTTTGCGAGACTCTCGATATAAAAGAATCGCGCGCGAGGGCAGAGAAAAGTCGATCTCGATACGTCAAGATATGTTTAAAAAAATCTGTTTATTTTTATATTTTATATGGACAAAATAAATTTGCACACACACATAGAAATATAATCGCTCGTGAGAGGATCAGAATATCGTTCGTGTTCTTTAATATCAATACTAACAATCGATCGATCGATCGCTATACTGATGAATTATGCATGATACTTTTTTTCTTGTTATACGTATTTTTTTTTAAACTTGCAAGAAAGATTGCTCGAGGCCTTATTACATTTGTGCACGAGGAAAAGTGGAGCCTCGGCACGAGACAAGCTCTAGCTTGGGATTATTTGCGCGAGGTCGCTCTTCATATTTAATGTAAGCGCGTACTACTTTCCAGAAGCAAGTCCTTCGCTCGATAATGAAAACGGTCTCGTCAAGGAACTCGCTTTGTTCAATTTTGCACCGACCTGGATATCTGGAATTGCATGCGAGTGCATAGAGAGCAGACGATAAATATACACAGTGTCCCAAAATTGTTCCTTTAATAATAGATTCTTTATATAATCCGCGGACTTAATTTCTCTACGATTTTACTATACATCTTTGTAATGAAATTATTAAATTTACTTGAAATCGAAAACTGATGAACCTGGCTTTATTATTCACGTAACTTTCTCAAATTCATTATAAGCCTTCTTTTATTCAATTGTTTATTAATTTCTTGATATTTTTAAGGCTAAGAAAAAATGGAAATTTTGTATATAGTGTATCTAAATAAGTGCGAAAAATTTTAGATGATTCTATGTCGAATATTAAGGGCGATTTCTTATATAAACATATAGAGAGAAAAGTTACACTTAATTTTTTATTAATTTTAAATATTAATAAATATCCTTTTTATTAGTGAAAAATATTCACCAAGTTTCATTTTTTAATTTATCTGAAATTCGAGAAATGGGGATTTTGATAAGAAACCTTCCTTAATTTTCAGCAGAGAATCGTGTTCTAAAATTTTTGCTTTTAGATACACCCTGTATAAACAATTTATACGCGAGGACACATCATTATATCACTGTCAGACAATTAAACGCTTGTTGTGCGCACCTTGAAGAATAATGAAAAAAAGTCTAAATATACATATCGGTCAGCTGGATTTATCGCGCGAATAAAACCCGCTAATCTTTCAATACGCTGGTAATGCGAGAGTCACGGAATCCTTACTTATCGTCCCTTTTACTCCGGAACTATCTATGTGCTACGTGGTCGTTACTCCGGCTACTACTATTTTCCACACAGTGGACACGTATATCCGCCCATATTTGTGGCGGGTTATCCGCGGCAGGAGTAAATGTATTGAAATGTCGTCCCGGGCACAAATACGACATACGAAGTAACAGGAGAGGAGAGAAGAGCGGAAGGAGGGAAAGGTGGGATTATCTGAATACAGTCGTTTCAGGGGTGAGTTGCGACCCCCCAGGGGGCAGTAGGTGGTCGCGCGCCCTGGAGTCTCCGCCGGACCCCACAAACTTGTCCCTCCTCGCCGAGGTGACGTATGACGGTCATCCTCGCACCGAATTACCACCATCTTCTCTGGAAGAGAGAAGGCTAGGGTTCACAAATAGATTATTTGAATATCGATCGATCGGCCCCTCCGATTTTCAGGAAATTGCGATTCCTTTAACAGAATTCGACCATCCCAAAGTCTTATTGGGTTGACAGAGTGTTTACACTTTCTTGTTAGAATTTACCCTAAAAATTATGGTAATCGTGGGACAATGTGATATTGGAAGAATTTTATAAGAGTTTCTCTAATTAATATTTACTACACTAAAAATATTAATATCTACCATAATAAGATATGAAATGTGTACCGAATTACCACCATCTTCTCTGGAAGAGAGAAGGCTAGGGGTCACAAATAGATTATTTGAATATCGATCGATCGGCCCCTCCGATTTTCAGGAAATTGCGATTCCTTTAACAGAATTTAACCACCCCAAAGTCTGATTGGGTTGACAGAGTGTCTACACTTTCTTGTTAGAATTTACCCTAAAAATTATTGTAATCGTGGGACAACGTGGTATTGGAAGAATGTTATAAGAGTTTCTCTAATTAATATTTACTACACTAAAAATAGTAATATCTACCATAATAAGATGTGAAATATGTTCCGAATAAAATATGTACCGAATTACCACCATCTTCTCTGGAAGAGAGAAGGCTAGGGTTCACAAATAAGATTATTTGAATATCGATCGATCGGCCCGTCCGATTTTCAGGAAATTGCGATTCCTTTAACAGAATTCGACCACCCCAAAGTCTGATTGGGTTGACAGGGTGTCTACACTTTCTTATTAGAATTTACCCTAAAAATCATGGTAATCGTGGGACAATGTGGTATTGGAAGAATTTTATAAGAGTTTCTCTAATTAATATTTACTACACTAAAAATACTAATATCTATCACAATAAGATATAAAATATGTCCGATTAATTTTATTATACACATAATACAATTTACTATGTACGTATTAATATTTTTATTGTGGTAAATATTTATTAATCAGAGAAATTCTGATAAAATTCTTCTAATATTGTATTGTCCCACAATTAACATGATTTTCAGGTTAAATTCTAAGAGAAAATTCTCTCCGTGTAGCGGTCAGGGAAATCTGGAAAACCGACCATTGTCAGGGAATTTTATAAATCTGGAATTGTCAGGGAAAAAGTCAGAAAATTTTACTATTTATCTGAATTTTTTCACATTACTCTACATTTGTTTCAATAATTTGAAATTTTTGATTAAATAAATATAAACGTTTCCTTGACTCTTAGCATGCTAATGATTTAATATTTAATTGATTTATCTTGTAGATGTATGCAAATTATATATTTGGAAAAAATAATACCTACTAAAAAGTCTAAATAAGTCTAAATAATACTAAAGGGATCAAATTAATTTCTAGTCTTGGAAAATCTGAAAAAATCAGGGAATTTTTTTCATTGAGTCTGCTAGACACCCTGGTTGTTGACCCCCTGGTTTTAATCAGGGCGTAGATGTGGGTTTCGAGAGACAAGACTGTATAGAGAGAGGCGAGTTGCTTATAGCTGTGCTTCGATAGCAAAATAAATTTCCCATATACGCGATTTGCGAGCAATAAATCCGAATTCGGAGAGTTTGATTTTATTGAAATGATAATGAATACAGCAAGAGATACGCATTATTTGGCCTGTATCCGATTATCTCTTTTGGCTTCTCTCGTGCCGCCTTGTGTACTTGTACGTGTTCTCTTTCTCCTCTTGCTCTATATATATATATATATATATATATATATATATTCTTTTATAATTCTCTAATAAAATCAACGAAGACGAGAGAAGCTCAAAAGTATAAATCAATGTCTTCGTTATCCTCTTTTCTTCTCTGGGGGAAAAAAAATAAAAATAAAGGAGAAATACACATACAAGTAACCCTAATATAATTAAGATAAAACCGTACAATGTATATAAGAGCGCGCTCGGCAATTTAAACGAAACAACAACAAGCATTTGGTATCGCATCATTCTTACGGGAAACGAACGATTTTCCTCCCGATCGGCTTATAGCGGCGGTGTCACTAACGAGAGCCTTGTTGCGCTTTTTGTTGCAGGCAGCGACGCGCTTGGACGAATCGATAAGGAGGAGCCAGCCTCGCCAGAATCCATACAAGGTGAGTTACAGAGTTTCATCGCTCGCGCCGTTCTCGTATATACGTACGTTCTTCATGCGATTAACGTATCGATGCGTCTGACCTTCGCCTTCACATCCGACATAAATTAGATTGTAGAAAATAAATAATGAATAATAATAAAAAATAATTAATAATTAATAATAACAATAAATAATAAAATATCTTGCTCCGAGCTGTCAATTTCTACCGGTTCTTATTTAAGGTCCTTTGAACTTAAATTATTTTACATGATACTAATTTATGATAAATTAGATTATAGAAATAAATAATGAATAATAATAGAAAATAATAAATCAATAATAATAAATAACAATAAATAATAAAATATCTTAAAATATCCGATAAAATATCTTGTTTCGAGCTGTCAATTTCTACTGAATCTTATTTAAGGTCCTTTGGACTTAAATTATTTTGCATGATACTAATTTATGATAAATTAGATTATAGAAAATAAATAATGAATAATAATAGAAAATAATAAATCAATAATAATAAATAACAATAAATAATAAAATATCTTAAAATATCCGATAAAATATCTTGTTTCGAGCTGTCAATTTCTACTGAATCTTATTTAAGGTCCTTTGGACTTAAATTATTTTGCATGATACTAATTTATAATAAATTAGATTATAGAAAATAAATAATGAATAATAATAAAAAATAATCAATAATTAATAATAACAATAAATAATAAAATATCATGTTTTGAGCTATCAATTTCTACCGAATCTTATTTAAGGTTCTTTGCGGACTTAAATTATTTTGTGGTAGATATTAATATTATTTATTTATGATAAATATTAATCAGAGAATCTCTTGGAAAATTATTCCAATACTATATCACATCCCACGATTACCATAATTTTTCAGAGTAAATTCTAAGAGAAAATACACTTTGTGTAAGAGATGGCAGTTTGGATTGCGTAAATACGAAATAGATCTCAACATTGCTTCAATTTCATCAGCATAACATTGTTACATCTTTGAGATTTCGTTACCTTCCGAATCTTTTCTTTTCCTTCCAGTTTCCATGGAAACGTCCGTTAACTCTTTCCACGTAAAATATGTCATAAAACCAATTACGTTTAGCAAATCTCGCCATCTCGGCGTTGCACGTTTTATTATTTACCTGGACAAAGTATTTTACAACCAAGCCTTTTACCTTCATTATCTGTCAACGATGTGCATTCGTCATGAGGATTTAGATTTTTCGTCAGAAAATAAAAAGATTATTAAAAGATTGCAGATTATCCACAAAGTTGTAGATGTTGTTCACAAATCGTTGACGATTTTTTGCAAAATTTAATCTTTTCTTTTCTTCGAATCTTTTACGTTTTTTTTTTTTTTTTTTTTTTTTTTTACTAAGCGAAACGAAGACGAATTTTCGAACACTAAAATTACAAATGATCAACTCTCACACGACATCCGCTAAACGTAACCAAAAAGGAGAAATATTGCAAATTTCTAGTGTTGCACATCGCGTGGGAAAATTTCGGTCGGAGCTGCGTGACTATTATAGCAAACAGAAATTGGGGAAACCGTGCCTATTATATTTAGTATAATTTGTCTATAGATACCATTTGTATATAAAACAAAAGTTTATTCACGTAACATTTTTTCAATTTTATCTCCATATCAAATAAATCATAATTATATATTTCTATTATAACGATGTTATAAAATTCAATCCAAAAATTAGATCAATTAAACCGAGTCCGAATATTTTTTCTCGCAGAACATAGACGTCTGTCGTAAGTGCGTATTAACATAATGTATCGTCTAAAATACATATATAGCACACATATCCGTTGTTTGGATTCTCTTGCGTGTTGGACAAAAACAAACTTTTGTATAATAAAGCTAATGAGGAGAATCGTTACAGTTCCATGAACGTGCGTTTCGAGAACGAACTCGAAGAGGGTGTCACGCGTCACGAGATCTGACGTGTATCGTCGTTCGCAGAAGACGCGCGATAATGAGGAGGATGACAGAATATAACGAATGCCGCCAAATAGCTGCATCTGCAAAACTGAGAAATCTCCTCGATGTTAAAACTATAGCGTGCAATTCTACAAATAGAATTAGCATTGTCAGGAATGCTTCTTTCGACCTGACATTATTAGTGTATCTAATTATCTGTCCTAATATCAGGGTTGCGGAAGTTAATGATTTTTTTTTAATAAGTTAAGTTAAAGGTAGTTGCTTATAAAATTAATTTAGTTAATTATTCGAATTTTATCAATTTTTTTAGTGTGTTAATCGGCTTCGAACATTTTATGTCTCCGCTCGCATGACGGCTTAATAAGAGATAATGGCGCGCAATAAATTTTAAGTTTTTTCTTAATTAATTTAGCATATTTTTATATATTAAAAATATATTTAAAATATATTTTTAATATATAAAATATTTAATATATAAAATTTTTAATATATAAAAATATGCTAAATTAATTAAGAAAAAACTTTAAATTTATTGCGCGCTATTATCTCTTATTAAGCCGTCATGCGAGCGGAGACATAAAATGTTCAAAGCCGATTAACACACTAAAAAATTGATAAAATTCGAATAATTAACTAAATTAATTTTATAAGCAACTAATTTTAAGTTAATATATTTAATTCTTAAATTTTGAATTCATATTTAATTATGAATTTAATAATTAAACATTATTAATATTAATTTAATAAAAAGAATTAACTATACATGCGCCGTAATTAAAGGATGAAAGGTCCCAAAGATTCGAGGTTGGAATCTGTCGACAAAACGATAGATTTAATTACGATTCTCGCGAATCAGAAACAAACGAACGAACCGGCAGAAACAAAGAGAGCTGGCAAAAAATCCGCGATTGGACCGGAAATGCCGAACCGGTCGTAAACATGGGAACTGGTCCTCTCCTCGCTAACGTAGCTTCTCGTCAAGTGTCTGTCTATGACAAGAAAAGAGTGAACAAATGGGTCGGAGAAAGAAAAAAAAGATCGGTAAATAAAAAGAAGAATATCGCGCGGCCTGTATTTTACTTTAGCATTTAGTCCACTGTTTGTCTTTATATGGCTATTAGAGCCTCCGCCAATTAGTAATTGCATTTTTAATGCCGATTCTCTGAATCGGGTCCACCGGGTTCCGGGGGCCAATCTTGATGGCTCGCGAATCGGGCCCCGAACGGAACCAGGGAGACAGAGGAGGGCATGTCATTAAGGATCATTAATATCGCGGACCTTTGTAATTTGACATACTTCCGATCGCCTAGCGCCACTCGTCTCCTCCATTTTTTCCTCCCAAGACTCTCGAACCTCCGTTTCCTGCAGTCTTTTTGTCTCTCTTCCTTCTTGCGTTGCTCTGCGAATCGGCCAGAAACTGTCGTGCGACGAAATGTCATTCCGTGATTCTCGCGAAAAAAATAATCGCGCCTCCGATTTTGTCAAGTCTCAAGGACCTTGTGAAAAATTACACAAATCTCTCGAAACGATGGTGCTTCCAAACTAATCCGAGACGTCTCAGTCTCGTCGCGTACACGACGAAACGATATGATTATTTAATCTTATATTTTTTAAAAATTTATTTATACATGTACATAATAATATATATTTAGAGATATTTAAAAATATATTTTTAAAAATTTATTTATACATGTACATAATAATAGATTTTTCTATACATTTAAAAATATATTTTTAAAAATTTATTTATATAATAATATATAAATATATATAATAATATATATTATTTTTTAAAAAATATATAATTTGTCAAAATATATATATTAAAAATATATTTTTAAATATATTTTTAATATATAAAAATATTTAATATATACAAATTTTTAATATATAAAAATATGCTAAATTAATTAAGAAAAAATTTTTAATTTATTGCGCGCCATTATCGCTTATTAAGCCTTCATGCGAGCGGAGACATAAAATGTTTGAAGCCGATATATGTTTTTCGATTACGAAATGATGCGCGAGCGGATGCAACATTGGCGATGTAGCGGCGATTAATATGATCCCGCGGATGCTAATCGTTTATTCCCACATCGTACTCGCACACCTGTTCGACCGATATGGTCAAACCCGGGGATTCTTTTAACGCCGATCTTCTCTCTCCCGCGAAAGATCATTCGAGCACGGTCACGTTAACTCATCATACTTTCTAATGTGTCGGCGCGAGCTTTTTATTTTCATAACGAAACGATGTCAGCTGTCATTAACTGTGAATCAAAGAAGTCGCTAACGTCACTTTGATCTGTCAAGTGAAAGACTGCGAAGGAAGAAATACAAGCCGTCGTATAGCACACTTCATGTTACATAGTTTATCGCTTGAGCTCATCTAAGAATGTCGTCTCTTAAAAATAGTAATAGAAATCGTATATATTTCATCTTTTTTTTCAATATTTTTTTACATTTTTTCTTTTTCATTTAATTATTTATTTTCGAGAGATATTGCATTATAAATCAATTCTTATATAAATTAATCTTTTTTTCAATATTTTTCTAAATTTTTCTTATTTATTCAATTATTTATTTTCGAGAGATATTGCATTATAAAAAATTCTTATATAAATTAAATATCTCCATATATACAATATATAAAATTATCCAACTAAATATTATGTATGTAAAATTAAATGCATATATAAAATAATAATTAATAAGCGCATTTAATAAGATATTTTTTTTAATTATAAAAGCGTAATCATATTAATTTCTTACAAGAATTGAAATAATTTCTTCTACATTTTATGAGAACTTAAGAACGATCGGTCACCGATTTGAACGATTTTAAAGATTCGTCTTCGCTCTGGCATCTCAAATCAGAGCGGAGAATGGAAATTCTGAAGGGCCAGATCGATTTCGCTTGGCATGCAAATATTCTCGCGATAAACTCGCCTGAAAACCGCTCGCTCATGCGGACACGAACGACAGTCCGTCTTCTTGGCGACTTTGTTATTCAAATCACTCGCCGGGCCGAGCCG